AATATATTACACATATTATTTATATAATAATATATTATATATATTTATATCTAAGTTTAAAATGTAACTGCTCGTGTGGTAATGTGGTTATGCTTCTTCTTTTGCCTGCATTTGGTTCAGGTTTGAATCCAACACTTTACATCTATTTTTTCAGTTTAATGTTAACGAGTCAATTTCGAGCCGAACACGAACGAATAATTAAATCAAGCCGAACACGAACAATTTCGAACGAGCCGAACACGAGCTCAGCTTGAGGCTCAAGCTCGACTCGTTTACAGCCCTAACTGGAACTTGTGATTTAAGAATAACAGAATGTCAACATAAATTATTTTCGATATTATATTAATTATGCCAAATAATTTCTGTAGATAGACTAAATTCCTTGGAAGCATAAGACGATCGAGACAGCCCGATTTATAATAAAAACATTTGAGCAACCAAAGTATATAATAACATTTTATTTACATACATACCATACCGCTCAATTCGTATAAATTTACTCATCTAACAGGTAAATTTTACTTATTACATTTATACCACCCTAATCTTTCATATCACATAAAAAATACCACTATTTTAAATTAAAAAAAAAATGAAAAATATATTTTCATGCATATACGGTATGCCCGTAAAAATTGAAGTATAGATTTTAATGCTAAGTAATATTGAAAATAAAGAGTTGCGAGCAAATTTCGAGCAGGAACGGATCCAAATAGCTCGATTAGAGCTAGTTAGTTTCAATTTTGAGCCAGAAAAGCCAATTCCAAGCTAAAACAGATCTAAATAACTCACCGAGCCAACTCGTTTCAATTTCGAACAGCATCGAGCTCGATTCAGTTTTGAGCCGACTTGACCCAAAATCGAATATAACAAGCCAAAGCGGCTTTCGAGCCGCACTAAACATATTCAAGCCGACCCCAACTCGACTCTAAATCGGATCGTTAACGAGAGACGCGATCTTTAACATTACATTAAAAAATCACAATTACAAGTTTTTCAAAAATGAAACACCTCTTTTTCTTTATGATACCACAGAGCTATGAATCTAAATATCAAATTTTAGGTGCTAGATTTGAAATTACATAAGAATTGTATGGTATGGATGTAAATTTCCCTCTTTTGATCTCCTACACTTGTACTATGCCAATTACTCCAACAATAATTTCGAATTTACATGTTTAGATCCACCAGAAGCTGATGCAAGCCAATCAAACAATGTGGAAGACATTGATGTGCGCTGAGGTGTGGAAGCCATGCATCTTTACCTTCGCTTCTCTGGCTCTCAGTTTGAACATCCAAGAGGGAATGTTCTACTGGTACACAGATAGCAACACTGGTCCATCCTTCTCCCAGGTTAGAAATAAGGAAGATCTGCCAACATGCCACTCAATTCCTATGTATTTACATATCTAACACCAAAACTTCAACTTTTACATACATACCACCTTACCTATGTTCGAAGTTAAAATGATGGTGTTTTTTATGTCGCAGAAAAACATCAGTTTCAATTATTCCATTGGGTCTGTGGGATCTTTGCTCGGTGTCCTACTCTACCAAAACTCACTCAAGGACTATTCCTACCGTTGCCTTCTATTTTGGACTCAGCTCCTCACAAGCATCCTTGGATTTCTAGACCTCGTGCTGGTTCTTCGCCTGAACCTCAAGCTCGGCATCCAGGATTACATATTCATGGTGATTAATGAGGCCATTTCGCAGCTGGTCGGTCGTGTGAAGTGGATGCCAATCCTTGTGCTGAGTTCCCAGCTCTGTCCTAAAGGGATAGAAGGCACCTTCTTTGCATTGTTGATGTCCATTGATCATGTGGCTTTGCTTGTTTCCTCCTGGGGTGGTGGCCTAATGCTTCAGCTCCTTAAAGTTACTAGAACAGAGTTTGGCAATCTTTGGATGTCTATTTTGATTCGAAATTTGTTGAGATTGTTGCCTCTTCTGGTATTAAATTTGGTGCCTAAGAATGATCAGAATCCTATGGTTAAGTCTGGTTGTTTTGCTAATAATGAAGTTGTAGGAGTCATGTCATCAGAAGCAAGTGGGATGGATCAGGAGGCTCTTATCCTTCATTGAAGAGACTAAATTATGATGGAGGGGGTGGTTAATTGTTATGCATCATTGGAGTACTAGCCCTCTAATTTTTTTAGTTTTTGTTAAATTTTTTTTCTCTCTTTTTAGTAGATCTTAGAGGGAATTATCAGTTTTGGAATGTAATGAATGGTATCTTTCATGTAATGTATTTTGCTCTCCATGAGATGGTTTGGTCTCTGTAATTTATAATCGTCTTGTTTGTTCTAAAATATAACTTTTTGTCTAGAAAAATCCTTCAAAAAATAAAATTCATGTGATACGCATGTGTCATTCGGGTAAATGTAGCAAATTAAATTAAAGGAAGATTCATAATACAATATTAGGTATTAAAGTGGCATAAAATACATACATCTATTTCTTACAAAAAAACCGTAGGGTGCTCTATATCATCTATTGTTTTAATGCCCTATATCATCTTCTACAAAACGTTGCCCATTGCCCAAGTAAATAAACTCTTCATATCAAGAATTTACACCAAAAGCATAAATTAGTAACATTATAATGCATAAGAAATCAATGGAAGCCTTCAAGGCTTAATTATAGAGAACAAAAACCCAGCCTAGATGAAAAATCGAGGAAAGAAAGAGTTCTTAGAAAAGAGATTATGAAAGCTTCGACAGATGCAAGGCTTGAGATACAGAGAGAAAGGAAGAGGAAAATATTGTGGCTAGAAGAAGGTGAAGAGGATATTGGACATTGTGGGGCTGCCTAACAATTGATTTATGTCGGATTTATGTAGGATGTAAGCTGAATCCTGCCATACAGTCATTTTGTGCAAAATAAATCCCTTGATTTCGTAAATCTAGATTCTAATGATTTCAACTGTCAATCTCATAAATCCTAAATCTTATGAATTGATGAATTTAACTTCACAGAGCTTGGGATTTAAGTTCGCAGGCTTCTAATTGGCTCCACCCTGCCATACTAAATCCCCGTTGAAATTGCCAAACAATTCTATCAGATTTACGGAATTTAACAAAATACGTTGCCACACAGATTTCCGACTTGAACCCATCCAGGATTTAGTAAATCCGGTTCAAGGATTTAGTAAATCCGGATTTACGAGAAGTACTAAATCATGCTTCAAATGAGAAATAGCATTGGAGACAGAATGAAAGCAAAAGTTCATTTCTTCAATCATCAATGCACATTTTTAGGCACATTCCTAAGCCTGCAATATCTAATTGTATTAAGTGAGATCTGTCCTGATAGCATCGAACAAATTGAAGCATGTCCTAATCTATGTTGCTCTCCTGGCGAGGGTTTTCAAGAAAATCATGAAGATCATATAGAATCACATAAGGTGTTGAATCACACGAGTATAACAAATTTCCAGAGCGAGCAGACAAACATATGTAGACCATTCCTACACGTCGAAGGCTAAACCTAATCGCATGAAAAATGCAGTAACTGATAAAAAAGAGTTGGATGGAACCAGGTTGGCGCTCTTCTTGCAATCTTGTTAAGGCAGCTAAATCCCGAATAGGGGACTTGGAGTGAAACAATATAAGAGAGAGGAGCGAGTGCGAGAGAATGAACGACAAATGAGGGCAAGGCATTCGGGTAGGAGCCAAGGTGGTGATTGATGCCTTCAACTAGGTCATGTAACGTTGAAGCAAGAGCAAGGAAGAACTCCCTATTCATTGGCTTTGACAAATTCAATGAGGCCAATGAGAAAGAAACTGGGGGAGGGTAAAAGGGAAAGTTGTACTGATACCTTCCTCTCTCTCCTGTTTTTACACCATCATCATCTTCTTCATGCCTCTTTCAACAAATGCATAAATTTCATTTTGTTGATTTGGTGCCTGTGGTGCCTTGTGAATATGAATTACGGAGAGGGGCTTATATAGAAATGGATTAAGATAACACCCGAACATGTGAAACCCTAGCCTACATTTAGGGTGTGTTTGGGGGAGGGCAGGTTCTCTTTTTCTTCAGGGTTGGGGGTGGCGGTGCCGCCGTCACTTCTCGCGGTTTGGTGCGAACGCCGAAAGCCACCTATATGTCACGGCCCAGCTTCGTCGACACGGCTTTTACCCCCGTGCCCCTTTTACATGCCCTAACTGCGACCCTCCTCTTCTCCGACCGGTGACGGTTCCTGGTCATCTTACTCCTGTTCTCCTTGTCCTTGTCTTTCTCTTCTCACTATCTCCCCACAACAGCGGTAAGAAATTTTGGCCCTTTTCCCTTTACATCTGTTGCTGTGTAAGTATGATTTGCTGGTGGTTTTTTTGGGGTACTGCTGAGTTTGTCTTTCTTGTTGTGAATAACAAATTGGATGGTTGAATCTTGTTGTGTAGCATTTTGCAAGATGCAATTGCACAAATTGTAATGCATTTTGTTGTTCGCCATATGATACTTGCACGTATCATGAATGTATTCTAATGTATTATTTGCATGTTTTTCAATGCTTGCACAAATTTTATGCCAATAAGGGTGAATTAAAATCGCCATAAATTTGTGCAAGATATGAAATCATCCACAACATTAATGTTTGCACAAGTGATGTCTCATCGAGTTCACAAATGTTTCTTCTTAATACTTCAAATTGTTTTTTGTCTGATTGCAAGTATATTGCAGATCCGATGGTGTGGAAAAAATGAGTTAGAATCTTTAAGATGCTTTCAAATGTCATTGTTTTATATTTTTACATTTAAAATTTAATGTGGATCTGATGTTTGCAGTGCGGGAGAGCTGGGAAACAATTTGGGCTGGTGAGGTTTTTGACCGATGCAGGAGCTGAAGCAAAGGAGAAAATTGGGTCTCACTTGGTCACTGGAGAGTGAGCTGTAGATGGTGTTATGTAGAAAGAAAGGAGAAATCTTGGGAGGGAAGAGCTATGGACGAGAGTGAGGTTGAGGCTCTGTTTGGGGCTCACAGTTTAGTAGATGGAGTTATTATGTCTTCTAGATATTTTACCTTTTAATAGAATGATTAGTAATTTTTTTACAGCTATCACACTGTAGTAGATGGAGGTATACAAATTGCTTCTTTCCAAAAGAAATTCTATAAAGTGGCAACAAAATTATGGGCCAAATAAAACTATGGACTATGGTAGTTTTCTACAATATAAAATCATGAAAAGAACTGCCTTGAGCGGACCCTTCCTAGTAGAAATGCTTAAAAGTTCTATTCTAATATGTTTGGTTTTGATTAACTACTATGGCATGAAGAAAAGATGAAGGGTTACAGATGTTTCCTGCCTTTTTCATCGGCTTTAATTGTATTTACATAAACTTGACAGTTGACTAAACAATATTTGGATGTTGTTTTTTCATCTCATTGCATTTATCATATCGGCATTAGATTATTATTAACAATATTTGTCATTTGTTTTTTTCTTCTGTTGCAGTCAGAAAAATATGAGCTCAAGGAATTCAGGGACAGAACGATGATTACTCTGCCACCGTGGCCTCCAAACTTCCCTATTGATGTCACGTCGGTCGCACAACTACGGGACAAAGTTCTATAGCTGCCCACGGAGCATCGCACAACAGTGTGACTTTTTCCGTTGGGCAGACAGTTCGAAGGATTGCCCTGACGACGTTGATCGGGAATGGAAAACATCACTCAAGGAAAGTCTAGCACAGGAGCTACACTGTCTGAATGTTAAAAATAATATAATCGTCTTATTAATTGTCATTTTAATAGTTTTAGACTTTTTTTTGCACTCTTGATACTCACTGTGAAGTGAGGTGCGTATCTGTAATTTTGTACTATTTTCAAGTGAAATTTTGTCTTAAAAGTTTTACATTTGAAATGAATTTGGTCGTATATTGAAATGCAATCTAAGAATTATTATTATAATGTTATCTTGCAATCTATCTTTCAAGTTAATTGAAAATTATTACTGGCTTGGGAATTGCAGTATTGTTGTTCTACACGTTTGAATTATGTTTCTTCCAGTTCTCCTTGTTTCATTATACACACACAATCCATCCCACTACAATATTTAGATATTACAATCTCCATTTGGTAGCTTGAAACTGTTGAGAATATGTTGAAAGCAGTGATTTTTTACTTCTTAAGTTTGTAGCTGTTGAGAATATGTTGCAAGCAGTGAATTCTGGAAACAATGAATTTTGTTATTTCAATCTCCATTTTGCTTTATAGATTGCATTTGGTAGCTTGAAACTGTTGAGAATATGTTGGAAGCAGTGAATTCTGCCTTCTTCAGTTTGTAACAGTGGTTTCTGGATGTGATGCTAAATATTTGAGTGTTATGTATGTAAATATGAAAGTTTAGGTTTTAAATCAGTAAATGTATAAGAATTGTGTGTATGTAAATGCAATTTTATTTTCTTATTTAAAATAAAGTAATCATCATTCTCATGAAGACGAACGGGTTAGTGTACACTATGTTAAGCATTTTGTATGGACATATTCTTCCAATGAAAGAAGCTTAAACCCTTCTTTCATAGTAGTTGCTGCAGCAATTTAAGTTTCTCTGGGTGGGCTCTCAGCGTTAATGCAAATTGAAGCTGATTTTACTTCATTGTGATTGTCTCATCTATACAGTTGTTAAGGGAGAGTAGTTTGAAGGATGTGTCCATATTTCAAGATTTATCTTATGGATCATTGGGTTGCTAGCAGATAAAAACTTGTTTAAGAGAATGCTAATTTCGTTCTCACTTATTTTGATTATGAAAATATAATTATCTTCTTTGAGGGTTTTAAGTGTTCGTAGACTTTCAAAGTAATAACTGATTTCCAACAACTTTCAAGCTAATAATGAATTCAAATGAATTCATCATTATTTTTAACATGTTCTTAAACTTCAAAATAAATTCATCATTATTTTGAATTTCTGCTTTAGAATTATCAAATAAATGGGTATCACAATTTTGTTACAAAGAAATTTACTGAACAGGGGCAGAACGATCAGTTTTCCAGAAATAGCTGCCCCATAGCTGTTTTCACGGCTGAACAGGGGCAGAACAATCAGTTTTCCAGAAATAACTGTCCCATAGCTGTTTTCACGCAGCTGTAACAAATAGACAGCCAGTTTCTCTACAACAACTTTCTCGAAGCTGTCTGCAACAGCTTCCTGAGGCAACGCAGTTGCAGCTGTGCCAAACAGAGCCTTGCTAAATTCTTTCATATATCGGTGCTATCTAATTATCAGACCTATGTTAATATACATATAATTGGAGCATTAGATGCATACCACCCACTTTCTATGTATTTACATGTCTAACACTTAAACTTTACTTTTGTATTTCTACCACCCAAATCCTTTGTATCTTTTAAAAAGTGAAATTCTACATTAAAAATGTGTCAGCACTGATCCTGAGAAGATCTAACGGTTCATATCCTACAAAAAGTACGACAAAAGAGGATGCACTAATGAAGAGCAAGAGGTTATCTAGCAAAGTGTTGTCCTACGAGCCTCAATTTCTCTATTCTTAAAATGACTTCCTTGATCACTAATGATCACTAGACATTCCAAATCTACTGAAGATATTATTTTTTTAAGAATTTAACGACACTTTGAGCATCACAATTTAAAATAGCTACTTCCTCAATGCATTTTGAGATATAGTCCACAGCTATCAAAATATCAACATTTCTAAAATATGGTACAAATGGTCCCATAAAATTCAAAACCCCATGCATCAAAGATTTCAATCTCCAAAGTAAAATTGAGAGTCATTTTATCACGTTTAGAAATCTTGTCTACTCTCTGACACTCATTACCAACTTTTATATATGTATTCACATCCCTAAAACGAGTACGCCAACTAAAATTCAGATTGCAAAATCTTAAATGTAGTTTTATAAACACCAAAATGTCTCCCAAATTCTGAATCATTACATTTCTTAATAATTTCTTGAGTTTCTTCTAAAGTTACACATTTTCCAATTGCTTAATCCTTACACCATTTATACAAATATGAGTCATCGCAGAAGTAAGATCTAGCATCATGATTAAACTTTTTTCGTTTGTGGTATGTTAATCCATAGAACATAATATCACCAACAATGAAATTTACTATGTCAGCATATTACAGAATGCGTCACTTAGTAATACTTACAGTTGCTCGTTAGAAAAAATTCTCATTAATTTCATCTTCATGAATGTATGAATTTTCTTGATCCGGTCTTGATAAATGGTCAGTGATTTGATTATTCGAGCCCTTCATATCCACTAAATTTATATCAAACTCCCACAACAAAAGGACTCATCTAATCAATCATGGTTTAGCGTCCTTTTTTTATTATCCGAGCCCTTCATATCCACTACATTTATACCAAACTCCTGCAACAAAAGGACTCATCTAATCAATCATGGTTTAGCGTCCTTTTTTGTCATAAGATATCTAATAACAGAAAAATCGGTATGAATAATACATTTGATTCCAATTAAATAAGATCTAAATTTATCAAAAACATATATTATAGCCAATAATTTCTTCTCAGTTGTAGTATAAATGATTTGAGCTTCATTAAGAGTCCTGCTAGCATAATATATAGCTTTGAACATTATATCATATATTTTCCCTAAAACTGCCCCAATAACAAAGTCACTAACATCGCACATCAACTCAAATAGTCTCCCTCTTCTCAGTTGTAGTATAAATGATTTGAGCTTCATTAAGAGTCCTGCTAGCATAATATATAGCTTTGAACATTATATCATATATTTTCCCTAAAACTGCCCCAATGTCACTAACATCGCACATCAACTCAAATAGTCTCCCTCAATCAGGTGAGACTATAATAGGAGCAGTGACTAATTTCTATTTCAATATATTGAAGCATTTATGTAATCTTGATCAGGGAACCCTTTTCTAAGAGACTGTATAAATGTTTGACAAATTTAGAAAAATCTTTTATATATCGTCTATAAAATCTAGAATGTCCAAGAAAACTTAGAACTCCCCTCACGTTAGTGGGTGGTGACAGTTTTTTCAATAACTTGAACTTTCACCAGGTCCGCTTCTTTGCCTCTTTCAAATATTTTATGTCTTAAAATAATACCTCATGTGGTCATGAATTGGCATTTCTCCCAATTGAACACAAGGTTAGTCTCTTCACAGTGTTTTAACACTTTAGCTAGATGATCTAAATAGGAATCAAATGAAGTTCCAAACACTGAGAAATCATCCATGTAGTCTTTTCTTGATCCTCAGCAGCTATGATTATTTGATGATATCCAAAATATCCATCTAGAAAGCAAAAGTATCGGTGGTCAGCTAGCCTATTTAACATATGATCCAGAAAGGATAAATGAAAGTGATCTTTCCTAGTGGCTGAATTCAATTTCCTGTAGTTAATACAAATTTGCCACCTTGTGACATATCTAGTAGGAATTAGTTCATTATGTGCATTCATAGATACTGATACTCCCCCCTTCTTAGGAACACATTGAATATGACTAACATAAACACTATTTAATATAGGTTAGATAATACCTGCATCTAGCCACTTTAATATTTCTTTTTTGATAGCTTCTTTCATAATTAGATTTAATATCCTTTGAGGATCTGCCCGAAGTTTATGATTATCTTTCATCAGGATCCTATGCACACAAAAAGACGGACTAATTCCCTTAATATCTGTTAAGGTCCATCCGAAAATTTTCTCATAATTCCTCAAAATTTCTATTAATTTTTTTTCTTATGAATGATTTAAATCTGAGGATAAAATAATCGATAATGTTGATGATTTCCCCAAATAAGCATACTTGAGATATGTGGGAACACCTTCATCTCAAGTTCAGGTGGTTCCTCAACAGAAGGAATAAGAGGTTTACTATGTGCTGTTGTATCTAAAATTTAAAACCTCTCTATAAATTTCAAATCTTCAGTAATTAATAGGTCTGATTCATCCTGAAAGTATGTGTCTTTCTTGTTATCTACTCTAGCTCTACTAATTTTACTACGTAATTTTCCCAAAAATGGCTACTACACAAATAACCAATTAAGTCCATCCAAAAATAAACATCTTCATTTCCTTTAGAGGTACACTTCATAGATTTTTAGACATTAAATGTAATTTCCTAATCATTTACTCTTATTGTTAATTCACCTTTTGCACATCTATCATAGCTTATTTGGTATGTAGGAAATGATCAGGAAGTTACATTATGGATTACAAGCTAAGAAATGATCATAGCTTGACTGGTAGGTAGGAAATGATAAAAAATAAGCATCTTCATTTCCTCAGGTTTTTTCTGTTTTTGCAGTATCCTTTTCAACCTCAATCTCTTTCCGAACTACATCCTCCAATTCTATTCCATTCCTTAATTGGATAGCTTTAACATGTTCACTATTCTTATCCTTAGAGTTTATCTTTGTGTTGCTAGGAAGAGTTCCTTGGGGCTAATTACTAAGTGAGTTAGCAATTTATCCCTTCTCTATATTCCTTATTGTTGCACCTTAACTTTGTAGTTGATTCCCCATTTGTAATACAACCTCCTCCAAAGACAACTTCTTCTCCTTAAATTGTGGATTAGAGTTAAATCATTGAGGATAAAAAGGTATGTAATTGGTACTATCCTGGTTACTCCAGTTTCTTAAGGGATTTTCTTAGTTATTTCCCAATTTTTGGTTTCCCCCACCATAATTTTTATTCCAATTAAGGTTAGG